ATTACTTTTCTTTTTCTAAAATGTTTTATAACTGGTTTTTGAAGTTCATTTGCAAGTTCATCAGTCCATTTCAGGTTTTTGCTTTTTTTACTCTGCGCTGGTAGTTTTTTTGACATAATTCTTTAATACTCATTGACTCTTTATTTCCCATACCAAACCTTACTTTAGCAGATATGATAGGTTTTATAATCTTTCTTTCCAATTTTTCACGAGGTGTCGGATTAGGTATAGCATCCATTTGTTCAAGCATTATTTTATCAGCTAAATTTCTATGCTCTTTATCTGGAAAATGTTTATAAGCAAGATCATGAATATAAGCTGTTTTATCAACTCTATCTACAGGCATACTCCATTCTTTAGGCATCTCAGTAGAAGTTAATCTTTCATCTAAATTAGTACCAGGTCCTGCAAAGTTCATACCTGGTATATGCATTTCACCTGGAAACTTTTGCAAAGGTAATTTTCTATTACTTGTAAATTTATTAATAGATTCTACCAAATCACCTCCTTTTTTAGCTCCTTCGGATCTTGTTTTAGCTCTTTCAGTTCCTTTTGTAAATTGACATTTTCTTGTTCCGCAGATTGCACAATTTCCACATATCATATTTCTTTTGTTTTTACTAACAGCATGTTGTAAGTGGAATGTATCTGTTTTGTTTTTACATTTAACGCAGTACATTTTTTATATATGTATTTTAATTTATTTAACACAAAATCTATTTAAAAAATACTTTTCATAAATAAAAAATGGAAATTATAGATTTATCATGGAATGTAAATAAAAGTAAACGCCATAATAATGAGTTATTACCTAAAAGTATAAGAGGTATTATTGTTGGAAAATCAGGTTGTGGAAAGACAACATTATTATTAAACTTGCTCTTAAGACCTGGTTGGTTAGACTATAATAATTTACAAGTTTTTGGAAAGTCACTTTTTCAACCTGAATACAAAATATTAAAAAATTCTTTTGAAAATAAATTACCAAAAGAAGTTATTCTTAAACTATTTGAGTTGCAAGATCAAATAAATAAAAACAATGTAAATCCAGAGTTTGTTATTAAAAACATTTCAAGAGATTTAAAAGATAAAACAGATATAGAGTGTAAATTTTTTGAAACAGCAGATGATGTACCAGAACCTGAAAATCTTAACTGTATTAAAAATAATTTAATGATATTCGATGATTTACAATTTACAAAACAAAACAAGTGTGAAAAGTACTATATAAGAGGAAGACATAGCAATGTAGATTGTTTCTACTTGGCACAAAATTATTTTGAGTTGCCTAGGAGAACGATAAGAGAAAATGCAAATTTTATATGCTTGTTTAAACAAGATTCTAAAAATGTAAATCATATTTATAATGACCATGTTTCAAATGATATGAAATTAGATGAGTTTAAAAAGTTTTGTAATGAAGCTTGGTCAAAAAAGCATGGATTTGTTGTTATAGATTTGTCTTCTGATCTATTAAATGGAAAGTATAGAAGTGGATTAGATTTATTTTATTATCCAACTTCTTTGTGGAAACAATAAATATATATTTTTTAAAAAATATATATTTTTATGAAGATCTAGTTCCTAAAGAAGAAGACCTAATAAGGGTATATTCTTAAATGGAGAATTTTCTCCTAATAACAAACCTTTACCTACTGATGAATAATCATTTCCATTTTTAGAATAATATCCGTCTAAATAATTATAACTACCATTCCATGGGTTTAAAAATACTCCTTTTCCTACTTTTCTAATTTTAAATCCATAACCATTCTTTTTTCCATAAATAATACCATTTCCAGCAATTTTATTAACTATAGCATGTCCAGCAGCTGCACCTACTCCTGTTAATGCTGCTGTTGCTATAACAGGAGCAGCATTTGCAATTACACTTCCAATTAATCCAAGTAGAGGTAGAAATCCACCATTTTTTTTAGCATTATGTTTAAGTTGTGCTCTACTCAGTGAAAGTGTTATACCCTTATTTTTTAAATAGGCTGCTTTCATTCTGTTTCTTTGTGACTCTGTTAAAGCTATTTTATGTTCACCATTTAAATCTTCATATGATAGTTTTATAAGAGCGTTAGTATCAGATTCAATTGCTTTTTTAATTTTTTCTTTCTGACTATCTGAAAGATTGATAAGAGTATCATAGTATTTTGTCATTTTTTATATATAAAATAATTTTTTTAATTCATTTTAAGTTATTGCTTTCTGTAATGCTTTATAGTCATCATCATCTATTTGACCCTGTCGTAACAACTCATCACAAATAGCAACAATCTCATTTCTTGTTCCAGTATTTCCTGCTTGTAAACCAGCTAAGCGTAATTTAAGCATCTCAAATAGTGCATTTGGATCACTAGGAAGAATGACAACTCCTTTTCCAGACTTTCCAATCATCTCTTCCCAAATAGGTTTTATTACATTATTGTACTTATAACTTTTAGATGATCTTGGTTTAGCTAAATTTAAATCAGAGCGAATTGCATCTGTTTGATATAAAATTTCTTTATACTTATTACGATCATTGTTAGTATATTTAACAGGATGAGATTTTACTATGATTTCCCAAAGACCAGGTGTACCAGTGTATTTTTTATCTTCAATAGTTATATCATTACCTTCAATAGTTATTGGTTTTTTACCAATGTAAAATTTTTTATCACCTTCATTGTAATGTATACCAAATATATCATCTGATACTTTTTTACTATTTTTAGCAGTATACAACTTTAGATATTCTGCTGCGATAGGTCCTAATGACATTTTATCTACAACTTCAGGTGGCATGATTGATTTAGTTTCAGAATCTAGTAAAGCAGGATAACTTGAAAAAGTATTAGCTATTTGATCAGCCTTATTTTCTAATTTAGATATACCTTCTTTTATTCCAGATTGACTATCAATTATTGGTTTGTACAATTTTTCCAAGTTAGTCTGTAAAGCATCATAACCTAACTTTTCATTTACATCATCTTGATAAACACTTTTCTTTAAACTAGCAAGTTCTTTTGCTATTTTTAATCTTGCTTCAATATCTGTAGCTTTTGCAAACATTTTTATATATGCAATAATTTTTTTAAATCACAATGTGATTATCAGATCCCTAAATGGATTAAATCAACATATATTATGTTTGTAATACATAATATATGTTCAAGTAAATACATAATATATGTTTATTTAATTCTTAAGAGTATTATTCATCATTCCTATATTCTGATTTTTGTTAAATCTCATATTTAACACTTCAATGACATCATTTGTACCTTTTTCTATTCCTTTATTAAATATTGACTCTTTAGTCTGCTCATCTATATCTTTCTTAGATTTTGTTCTAATTTGTTCAGTCATAGCTTGAAACTTTTCAAGTTCTGAAAGTATCATTGTAAATTCTACATCATCGATAAAACCATCTTTTAAAGCTTTAGAAATATGATCGCTTATCGTATTTAATTTCGCATCAGCTAGTACTTTAATCTTTTCATGCTTTTCTGCTTTTATTGCTAATTTTTTAATAGCTTGTGATCCTATTAATGATAATACACCCATACCTAATGCTGCACCTTCACATGCAATAGCTACTGGTGTTCCAACTATTGTTGTTAAAAAACCAATACCAACAGCTCCTAATGCCATAGTGCTTGCTAGTAATGTATTATCAACTGCTGAAATGATTCTTGAAGCTCTGTGATATTTTTTACTTAGCATAGCTCTTCTATTTCTTTCACATTCCATTTTATTTTGAATTTCACTTATCTTATCTAATCTATATCTCTGATCTATAGATAGTGGTGGCGCAGATGGATTTTCTGAAAACTGGTTAAGATCTGGATAAAGCTGTTTACATTCATTATTACATTGCATTTTCTATAAAGAAAAATTTGTTTTAAATCACTTTTTACCAAAATCAAATAGAGCATTGTCAGACTTATCTATACTAGGTTTATCTTCATCACATATAGTTTCTTTAATTATTCCCCCTATACTTGATAATAAAGATTTTACAGATTCTTTATCACTTTTTGATCTAGATTCTACTTTTTTATCAAGTTCTAAAGCAGCTCTATGTGATATATGATTTGTATTAAAAACACCATTATAAGATGAAATACAGCATAACAAATCTCCTTTTTTAATGTTTATATCTTTTTTATCGTTATTATATAAAGTTATTTTAATATCATCAGTAGACTCTATTACAACAGAATTTAGTAAATTTAGAGTAGGTTTATAATTTTCTGCAAGTGAAATCATTACATGTCCTTTATCTATTTTAACTCCACACATTAAAGAAATACTATTATATGAATTTGATTTTACTGTAAAATCTTCTTGTGCAAATACTTTAATATGTCTATCATTTATTGCTTTATGTTCTAAATCTGAATTAATATTAAAAGTTATCGTATATTTTTCATGCTTTTCATAATCTAAAAACATTCTTCTCTTATACATTTTTAAAATGTAAAGATTTTTTTAGATCAATATAAATATAATACTTTTAAAGTATGATATTTTTTCATTTTTTTAAAGTTCTAACAATATAATTTAAAATACTTTCACCTTGATGTAAAAAATAACATGTTTTATCACTGTTATTTTTATATATTGTTTCTCCTTTTTTATTTAATTTACTCTCTACTAATTTACATGGAGTATAATGACAAATTTCTACATTTTCTTCAATTTCTTTTTTAGAATGAGCATATTTGCAATTTATATTTTTACATTCTTTTTTATCAAGAATATATTTACATAATTTAGTTTTAGCTTTTCTTAATTTTAATAATTCTGACTTTTTAGGATGAAATAAAACACACTCTTTATTCCTACATTTTGGATAATCATAGCAAATATGAATATGCCTATATTGACATGAAGATTTAGTGCATATTAGTCTTTCCTTTACAGTATTACAATAAGGAATAACATGATTGTATTTACATTTTCTTCCAAAAGGGCAGAAATTATCATTTAAAATATTTTTACAGAAAATGGGTAGTTTCTCTACAAAATGAATTGTTGAAGGTTTTCCATCTTCAGTAAAATTAATATCTACATTAAATGGTTTTTCAAAACTAAATTTTCTTTTTTTGTAATGTTTTTTAAAAGAAGTATTATCTATAGCAGGATAATCATCATTAATAACATTATAAGTTGGAACATAATTAATCCATTTCAGCTTATCTTTATGCAGCTCCATGATTTGAACTGTTTTTAAAGGAATTGGAACTATAGGTTTTTCTTTAACTTCATCTTCATCATCAGATGTAAAATAAGTAGCTTCATCAGATGTATAATAAGTGTCATCTTCAGAATCTGATTCTTCAAATTCAAATTTTAATATTTCTTCAAAAAGTTTAAATTCTTTTTGAAATTCAGATATTTCATTAATCTCATCATCATTCATTTTTATTTTTTATTAATTGTAAAAATATTTTAAATCAAAAAATTGAAAATGAGTTAAATAATTTTCTTGTGTATATAAAAAAGAATGGAAAACGAAATGCAAAATTCATTTTTAAGATCAATAGAACAAAGATTAAGATTAATAGAAGAAAAATTAAATATTATTAATATTCATGATATTGAAATGACTGAAGATGAAGAAGTTACTACAGTTACTACTACTGAAGTTACTGAAATTACAGAAACTACTGAATATAGCGATGATATTGAAATGACTGAAGAAGATGATGAAGATGAAGAAGATGAAAATAGTCACATTAAAATATTAAAATATTTACATGAATTAGGTTATAAAGATATAGAAGATATAGAAGATGCAATAGATGATGCAATATATAATGCTGTTGAAAAAGGTCAACTTGAAATATTAAAATATTTACATGAATTAGGATATAAAGGTACAGAAGATGCAATAGATGATGATGGATGGGCAATTAATTGTGCTGCAAAAAAAGGAAACCTTGAAATATTAAAATACTTGCATGAATTAGGGTATAAAGGAAATGAAATGACAATTAATTGCGCTGCAGAAAAAGAACACCTTGAAATATTAAAATACTTACATGAATTAGGGTATAAAGGAAATGAATGGACAATTTATTCTGCTGTTGAAAGTGGAAATATTGAAATTATTAAATATTTACATTTGTTAAGATATAAAGGTAAAGGTTCAGATTATGCATTTAATTGTGCAGTAAGTAACCAGATAAGCTCAGCATCAGATAGTAACCTTGAAATTATTAAATATTTACATGAATTAGGGTATAAAGGTTCAGAATCGTTTAATAATTTAGCTGTTAAAAATGGATATATTTAAACTTTTGATACATGTAGTTACTATAAATTCTAGTAGTGATAAAGCTAACCAATGCTTCTACTATGCTTAAGTAAATCCCAGCGCATGCGTATTAAAAATAAAAAAAATTTTGAAAATGAATTAAATAATTTTCTTGTGTATATAAAAAGAATGGAATTAGAAAAAAAAAAAATAAAAATAAAAATAATGTTATTAAAATATTAAAAGCAATTAATCGCGCTATAGAAAATGGTAACCTTGAACAAGTAAAATATTTGCATAAATTAAAGTATTATTATGAAGAATTAGCAATTAATTATGCTACTGAAAATTATGACTTTGAATTAGAGCAACAATTATATAAATTTAAGTATAAATATGAAAAATGTGCAATTAGTTCTGCTGCTATAAACGGTCACTTTGAAGTAGTAAAATATTTACTTGAAATAGGATATAAAGGTGATAAATTAGCAATTAGTTATGCTGCTATAAATAACCACTTTGAAATATTAAAATATTTACATGAATTAGGGTATGAATGTTACGATTGGACAATTGATTGTGTTGCTAAAAATGATCACCTTGAAATATTAAAATATTTACATGAATTAGGATATAAAGGTACAGAAGATGCAATAGATAATGCTGCTAGAAATGGTCACCTTGAAGTAGTAAAATATTTACATGAATTAGGGTATAAAGGAACAAAAGATGCAATAGATAAAGCTGCAGAAAATGGTCACCTTGAAATATTAAAGTATTTATATGAATTAGGGTATAAATGTGACAAATGGGCATTTTATTCTGCTGCAGAAAATGGTCACCTTGAAATATTAAAATATTTATATGAATTAGGGTATAAATGTGACAAATGGGCATTTTATATTGCTGCAGAAAATGATCACCTTGAAGTAGTAAAATATTTATATGAATTAGGATATAAAGAAAAATAAGAAGCAAGAAAAGTCACGTGACCTGTGACGTCATGCAAGAAATTTTCGTAACATTTTGTAACAAGAAATAAAAATTAACACTTATTTTAAAAAAATTCAATTTTTTCAAATTTATATAAATTTGAAAAGTTATTTCTTATCTAAATAATTTATATACAATAGGGTTCAATGTTAACCCTATATTAATATTAATTTATGGTTGAAAATAGGGTTGAAAATAAAAATGTTCCCCAGAACCGGCAATCTCTTACTACTCCAAAGATTAAAGGACTGTGGACATCATTTTGGAACTCCTTGGATCTTTTTACATCTCCGCCACTACCCACAAAGCTTTGATGTTGAGCTCTTATAGCTCCAAAGGATCGCTGATTCCCACACAGAAGAAGCTTTGAAGACTCAATATCACACCAACATCAAGCGTGCTTGCTGCAATGAGACTGGATGCCACAAATAATGTTTGCAAGTTTCATATCGCAAGAAATTACTGCAGCTTCTGATGGGATTAGTTCTTGAAACTTGATGAGTTGAAAAATCTCTTGCACATTTCAATAATTTTCAAGAGTGTCATCAGCAACAGCCACAAGAAATTGCTTTTTCACACTAGTTTGCTTTGAGACTTGTGTCGTGAGTTTGGCAGATTTTTCGACAGGACTGTGAGGCTCTAGGTTGTTTTCTTCCTCATCAATAACTCCAATGTTCACTTTTAAGAATGACCCTCCTCCATTAATACCTATCTTTGCAAAGGCAGTCTATGAGGAGCCAATTTCTTCTTCAATCCTGTCTTTCAAGTCCTTAATTCTTTTGCAATGAACCACAACCCTGACAGTAAAAAAGTCCTGCAATTTTTGTCCAGACTCAGCAAGTTTTTTTTGAAAGTTGTTATGTTTTATATGTTTCATATGTTTTCAACTAATCTTGTTGGGCTGATATGATTGATGAACGATCTAAGTTTCCTCATTCCGTTGTAACACAATCCTTTATTCTGTTGAATTTGAACCATATCTCCTGTTAAAAATCTGGAAGGAAAAAGCATTCTTCAAAAAGCATTAGCATTCTCTAAAGAAGAATGTGGTAAGTATACATTTTACCTTTTCTGATTGGAAAATGCATCCTACTCAATTGAATTGAAGTCAAATTGTTCCTCCATGAGATGCTTCCTTGGATGCAACAATGGAAGATGCAACTTGTTCAGCTCCTTTAGGATCTGACAATACCAGTTGCTTCAAGTTTTCATGGCGTGAACCAATTGTGCAGTGATGAGAAAGGCTTTGTGAGAGAACAGACAAACATTTTGTACAACGTTTTTCTGAACTTTTAGGTGGCTGACTGGTTGTTGCAGGCTAGTCTTTTTGCTCAAGTGGGTGAGTTTCTTTACCTTTAAGCCTCCCATTTTGGCAGATCAAACAATCACAGGTGTTTGAACTTCGAGTTGCCGGTTTTATTTGGATGTCTTCAAACCTGTACAATCTTGGTTTACACATCTTAGGATCCCCATCTTTAAACTTTTTCAGTTTAAAACGACATGTCTGACATGAGGCAAGAGGAACTCTGCAGTCATTGAAGCTCAGATCATTCTTGATGAGGCGCTGAATCCTTTGCTTTAAAAAGTCTGTCAGAACTTGGTCTGCTTTCTTCATGCAGATAATGCACACAGATTTTTGACAATCCTCATAGGTTTTTGCTGAATTGGGCATTTTTGATGCGCATTCTACGAATTTTTCTTCAAAACTATGATATTTATACAGGCTTTTCCCGGAAAACAATCGCCGTAATTTGGTTGACATTATTTTGGTGATAAGAATTTAAAAAAATCACACTGGTATTTTAAAATACACCGAATACCATCAAGTAACACTTTCTTAACCTTTTGATACTTGTTATATTTGGAAAAGTTGTGTAAACTTGTGTCAGAAAAATTTTTCAGTAAAAGTCACAGCGTTTCATTAAGATAAAACTAATTAAGTCAAATAAGTCTTGTGGACGGTAATTCCTGATTTCAAAATTACTTTGTTATGAGATCCCTATCATATGTACTAACACCCCTCAAAAGGGTTTGCATAGGAGTTGTTTTTGGTATTAGAGTCCAAAATTTTGAAACTGTGGGAATGAATATATATATATATATATAAAAAGAGTGATATAGTAACAATAGAAAATGATTATCATGACAATATTTGATTTGCGCTTTAAACATTTGAGATGTTTTTATTAACATTGCTACCATCAACAGCGATTATAAAAGTAACACGTTTTTTTTTGTTTTTTTTTTGAGCATTTTTCTTATTCCTATATGCTTTTATTTTGCGAATTTTATTATTGCGAATGGGTTTATTTAGATAAACAAATATATCATTTGTTAAAATTTAAAAAATGACAGCTTATTTGAACTGGAGTATAGAGTATGTTTGCTTATATATATATATATATATATATATATATATATATATATATATATATATATATATATATATATATATATATATATATATATATATATATATATATATATATATATATATATATATATATATATATTTACATATATATATTTACATATATATATATATATATATATATATATATATATATATATATATATATATATATATATATATATATATATATATATATATATATATATATATATATATATATATATAAGCAAACATACTCTATACTCCAGTTCAAATAAGCTGTCATTTTTTAAATTTTAACAAATGATATATTTGTTTATCTAAATAAACCCATTTGCAATAATAAAATTCGCAAGATAAAAGCATATAGGAATAAGAAAAATGCTCAAAAAAAAACAAAAAAAAACGTGTTACTTTTATAATCGCTGTTGATGGTAGCAATGTTAATAAAAACATTTCAAATGTTTAAAGCGCAAATCAAATATTGTCATGATAATCATTTTCTATTGTTACTATATCACTCTTTATAAATTCATACTAGTCTACTTATATAAAAAAAGTTATCAACCTCTTAGAAAAATAAAACAGCGTTTATAAAAAATTTGAAAAACCCTAAATTAAGGTTCTTCAAGGGTTTCTGTAAAGCGATTAGTAGATCCTTGTGGGTTTTTTGTATTACTTTGTGAATAAGCCCCCGGTTCTTCAAAGAACCATTAAAGGATATTAGGAACCCAAAGTTTCTTTAAAGAACCTTAAAATTTCTCCAAGAACCTTTAGGTTCTTCAAAGAACTGGCAAAGAACCCCAAAGAACCCTTTAGATTTAGTGTAGGTCAGAAATAAACTTTATTTATTTGAGCTTACCATCTTTTGAAAAATCTTTTGATTTCTTTGCGACACGATACTTTGTAATCATTTTTTCTTCGTATGTCTGTATAGCATCTAACAATGAATTATACGTCATAAACTGCAAAACATCTAAATTGAAATTGAAAAGGAGTTTTTTTAATATACTTATAAAAGTGTTCAGGATTGTGCATAGTAGTGTCCAGGATTGTAAAGCTGTAAAAAAAAAATTTTTTAGAATTTTTTTTCTCAAACATCAATCTCTTGCTTAATTAAACAGTAAAGTTTGCATATTTTTAAAAAAACGCAGGAGCAGCTACATTTTTGTGGCTCCTCTAAAATACAGTGACTCCACGGCTCAGGCTCCACAAGACTGGTAGTGTCACACTATCAAAAAAGTTGCACAACTACACAAAAGAAAACACCAAACAATGTTTTGTATTAGTTTGATTTTAAAGTCTAAACACATTCCGTATTCCTTTTGAGTTCATGTTTAAAAATGATATGTTCTTAAATGATGATGAAAAATAATATATTCTCAAGCGTAAAAAAAAGTTAAAATACATAGTTGCTGCGATTAACTATTCACAAGTAAATTTTACAATACTTAGGGTAAGAGGGAACATATGTGCGCAGATACGGTATCCAAATGAGTAACCATTTGCTATCCTCGCCGGACACGCAATAAGGGTTTAAATGGGTACCAGACTATTCACTGGGCAACTTATAAGATTCCCAGATTTTCTTCTCATAATTATAATAATAAACAACAGAAAAAGTTTTTTTATGTAAAAGCAAACCGCTAAGTACAAAGAAACATTTTTTAAACCGAGCAACAAATATAGCGTCCAACTCAGGTGGATTATCGTTGGTAGCGAATTTTGGAGAATATATTCGGCTGTTATTCCCACAATCCATTTCTATTTTGTTTTTTGTGCAACTTCAATTGAACTTAACAGCAACTAATTATAAAACAGTATATTAAAAGTACATTAAGAGCCCACATTACCTGGTTTACAAACAAAAGGGATCAACCAAGACTTTTTTAGGTAACGTTAAAGTGGTAAGGACACCCGATAAGTTGATTATTTCAAAATTGCCTAATCGACCTAAAGATACATCCTAATTAAATCTACTAAAAAATAGATCCTAGTTAAATCCGTTGAACTTAAATCCTGCCAGATAACTAAAAATTGAAATTATATGTTCTACTACTATATAGGATACACTATCTCGTTTCTTAACCCTTAAACTAAACAGAATGAAGTATTCTAATAAATTGAGACTTAACTAGATTCCCTGCACAGATTGACACCATGCTTATAAAAACTACATAAAACTATATAAATGAAATAACAGTTTATAAAAATTAAATTGTGATCCTTGATTACCATTATATGATTATTTTTTTAATGATAAACATCTTGTCATAGCTAATAGCTTTTTTTCTAAATATTTCTTTACTTTTGTTAGTGAGACAGAAATCAGTAAACTTGTTGAAATGATTGCTGCCTTGTTCTTTAAAGTTCTTGATGTTTTGTTTTTAACTTCATTATAATTTAGTCAACCAGTTTATCTGACTTATTTAAAACTGATATCTCATTCAGCTCTATTGCTCACCTAATTCAATATATTGAAATAACACAAATATAATAGTAGTAGTAGATAGAGGTAGTTAATGAATAAGATAAGTAGTAGTAATGAATAGATAAGTAGTAGATAGAGGTAGTTAATGAATAAGATTGAGGTAGAAATCTCCATTGTAATTTACATGAGTATATTAAGCAGAATAATTGGCTGTACAATATAAGCAATGTCGGTCCTACTCAATTTTAATGTTAGTGTCTTAATACTTTTAAATGAAGTAATAAAAATCAACATATACAAAACTGTCCAGATTATGTAAGCTCATAAGACTGCTAAATACGCATTCTGTCTATGACAAGCTTTACAAAAATCTTTAATCTCTTTGAAAATGCTTTTATTTAATGCTTAAAAAAGAGCTTCATATAAATATGCCATTTGTCACTTTAAAAAAAACAAGAAGATATTAAAAATGAAGAAAAGCTGGAAAACAG